AAAAAAAAAAATCCAGGATGAACGAGTTTCAAAATGCATAGTGTTCTGTGCATGAGTCCATTTTCTTCAAACTCTGAAAAAATAAAGTGGTAAGAAAACAAGAAAAACAATTGCTGCTGCATTCTCTGATCTTCTTCATTTTGCTGGTCGGCCCTTTATTCTGGCATGTAAGGACGGAGGTGATCCTCTATGGTGCCAACTGCCCAATGGGTGAGCTGTTCCTGTGGCAGGTAGAGGCAGATGCTGCATAACTTGAAGATTGTAGCTTTGTTTTTTGGAGTCTAGGAAGAAAAAAATTTTTAATATTTTTAGTAAGACTTGTATCTAATTATTATTTGAAGGTTAAATTTAGGGAGAACCTATGGCACAGTAAAAGCCTTCAGAATAAGTGATAAATTACCATTTTAGCTAGTCTAGCAATCTAGTAAGGGAGATCATCTTTCCATACAAGGCACCAAAAAAAAAAAAAAAAAAAGTAAAGATTATTGTAAACTAAATGCATAGAAAACTTATGCACAATTAAATTATAAAAAGTTATTAAGTCAACCAAAGGCTGCTTGCTAAAAGAAATTAATGTTAAAGGCATTTCATGGAAACAGATCAGACTTCTGGTCATGTTTTTGTGTATAGGGAGTCAGCAGGAGTTGAAGCCAGGGAGATAATTAGACATGGGTTAAGCTCTAAGCATATCCTCTGGGGTTAGGGACCGGAAAGCCAAAGTGTGACCAACTAAATCAAACTCTTCTTTTTTTAATAGTATTTACCACTCAATCATCTAACTTCAGGATAACATGTACTATGTGCTAGAATGCCAGTAACTATGGCTAACTACTAAAACTGGCTGAAGCCATTTACTGGCTAACTATGGCCAGTAATTGGAAGATAGGATCTAAATAAAACTGATTGCAAAGTTCATCTTTTTACTGAAGCATCTAAGACTGACTTGCTCATGAGGCAGTCTATTTATGTCAATGAATGTATTATATGTATATAGACTAGTTCATTTTGTAGATCTTTTGAGGTGCTAGGGATTGGAAATGGGGCCTTGTGTATACTAACGAGCACTGCAGAGCTACACTCTTGTCCCTCAGTTAATTATGAAGCTCACAGGAAGCTTATGAAAATTATTTGCTCAACCAAAAGAACATGTTCACATAAGTTTATTTGTCCAAAATCACATAGCCAGCAAGTGGCTGCTCTAAGAATCCACCAACTCCAAGGAATGAGAAGTTGTGCTCCATTTGTGCACTATGTCAAAATGCATTCTACTGCAAAATAAATTACAAAAAGGAATAAAAAGAATCCTCCAACTCTAGGCCTGTACCTTTCTATCACCTGGCCATCCAAGATTATCCTTTGGTTAACCCTTGTTACTTATGAAAAAAATGCACAAGCTAGATGATTTTGATCAATTTATTTGATTTATTTCCTTAGCTACAATTAGGGGAGTTAATACCAATATCCTCAGGATTATCGAGAGTTAAATGAGTTCATCCATGTATAGCTCTTAGTGTAGAGCTGGGCACAAAGTGTTTTGGGCCACTATCGTTTCAATTTCCTTTACAAATTAATGCTGCAGTTAATTCTTCTCACAGGCAAATGTGGCCACACACATGTTCAGCTTATGAAGATCAAGAACAGAATCTGAATGGAGGAAGAGGACTAAGAGCATCAAAGACCAAGTTTGTTGACAACCATTCCCGTTTCCTGGGACTGAAGAGTTTCCAGGACTTGAGACTTTCAGTACTATACTGGGAAACTCTATGCAATATGAGACAGTCACCTACCTACAACCCAAATTTGGTTTATAAAGTTAAATTTTTCATCAGGATTCAAGCTGCTTAATTCATAGAAAAGATGTGTCCTTGATTCCTAACAGGAAATAATTTATTATAATAAGTAGCATACCAAAGTCATAGCTATATAGTACTAATTTTTCTTAATACATTCACATGAAAATGAAGTTTGGTTCCTCTATACTAGTATTACAGATTCTGTGAGAAAAATCTGTGCTTTAGAGTCCACTATAATTCAGGAACTTTTAAAACTGAATAAAACTAGCAAAACTGCCTGCTATACAGAACACTTCCTCAACAAATAATTTAAAGGACACATAAAAATAAAAAAGGAAAAATAGTCAACTTCAGGGGCTAGGGTTGTGGCTCAGCAGTAGAGCGCTCGCCTAGCAAGTGTGAGGCACTGGGTTCGATCCTCAGCACTTCATAAATATATATATATATATATGCTCTTTTTTTCCCCAATCATGTTTTTCTGTATAGCTTCCTCAAAAGTGTCCACCAATATTAACTCTCCTTTTAATTCCCAGTTCTTTGATTTGCTCTGTACCATATACTTACTTGATGTTCTGTAAGCTAAAAAGCACATATTGAATCTTCCCAAGCAGCCTGTTAGCTCCTCAGAGACAAGCTGTGATTTGACATTGTATTTTTCAGTTTGCACACATTCTCTCTTACATAAACATATGGTCTGCAATGTAATGAGTACTAAAACATACTTCACTTACATCACCTTCTCCATTATGTCTTCTCTAGTGCCCTACCTTAAAAATTTGAGCCAAAGTTTATCTTTTCTTTTTCTCTTGCACTAATTTTTTTAATATAGAATGTACCTCATCCTTTTAGATCTTTATTTTAAAAGGCCTACATCATCAGTACTTCTCAAAATAGTGTTAGGAATCACTTGAAAATGCAGATTCTGATTAAGCAGGAGTAGAGTAAGGACTGAGAGTCTATATTTTAATAAGTTCCTAGGTAATATTCACCTGTTGACCATATACCCTACATTGATCTTTGCATAAGAACTTTCAAAATAGATCACCAGGAAGTTCTAATATACAGCACAATTTAGGAACTTCTAGAGTAAGTAGTACAGTATTTGTTTCCTGTTTTTAAAATAACTTCAAAAACAAGGCAGTGTTGAGATGGCAAAACAATTAAGTATCTTATTTAGAAAACAGTTTTAATAACCAACAAAGCCTTTCATGAGTTCCAAAGTTGTTCTCAAATTACCTTACCTGCAAGTGCTGTCTGTCAATGAAGAGAAACATTGACTGGTTGGGATTGTTGACAACAATTCCAGTCTTGTCCTTGCGGCTCAGTACATGCAGAAACTGTTTCTCATAGTCACCGTGATGAAACTCAAATTTGGCCTAGTTAAAACATACAAATGTTTACTTTTTTATTTATTTTTTATTAGTTATTCAAAACATTACAAAGCTCTTGACATATCATACTTCACACACTTGATTCAAGTGGGTTATGAACTCCCATTTTTACCCCGTATATAGACTGCAGAATCACATCGGTTACACATCCACGTTTTTACATACTGCCATACTAGTGTCTGTTGTATTCTGCTGCCCTTCCTATCCTCTACTATCCCCCCTCCCCTCCTCTCCCATTTTCTCTCTCTACACCATCTACTGTAATTCATTTCTCTTGTTTTTCTTTTCGCTTTCCCCTCACTTCCTCTTATATGTAATTTTGTATAACAATGAGGGTCCATACAAATGTTTATGTAACTACAAATGTTAAGACTATCTGAAACACTTGCTGAACTCATTCCCACATACCTGTGCTGTCCAATATATAGCCAACAGCCACACATGGCTACTTAAACTAAGATATATTAGCCACATTTGGCTACTGGCCACTACTTTGAACAATCTCAGACGAAAGACATTTCCTTCATTGTAGAAAGTTCTACTGGACAGTACTGTTATATAATTTGATCTTCAAAGAAGCTCTGCATCAACATGACTAAATCCTAATAACGATCTTAAAGCGAGGTTTCATAAAAATCTTACTTGCAAACCTACTTGGCCCAAGGCTCACACCACAGTACTTTAAACTCCAATGACCCTTGGGAGACAAACTCTAATTGCTCTTAGGATTACAAGTTCAAGCCCAGCCTCAGCAAAAAAGCAAGGCCCTAAAAAATTTAGTAAGACAACACCTCAAAAAATAAAAAGGGCTGGGGGATGTGGCCCAGTGGTAAAGCTTCCCTGGGTTTAATCCCCACTACAAAAAAAAAAAAAAAAAAAGGAAAGAAAAAAAAATCTGTCTTTCTATCCCAGCTGTGTATCTCAGCAGTTATGTAACTGTTTCTAAGTATTCTAAACTTCTGTTTCCTCATTTGTAAGGCTCTAACCCATTACTCAAAGACAGTCAAGGAGCATTAACTGAAATGTGATGCCCAGGTGTGAAATACACTTCCACTTCTCACACAGATGGACTTCTGAGGGTGTATAAACCCCTTCAATATTTTTTCACTTGGTACTGGGAATGGAAACCAGGACTTCATGAATGCTAGGCAAACACTCTACCAGGCTGGGGATATAGCTCAGTTGGTAGAGTGCTTGCCTCACATGCACAGGGTCCTGGGTTCAATTCCCAGCACCACCACCCCCCCAAAAAAAAATTCATTAAGAATATTCTTTCAATCTTAATGTGAGGAAGAAAAAACTTCATCCTTCCACAAAATGTATCTGGGCAACAAGAAGAGACAAATGATGAGTGAAAAAGACCAAATGGAGAATTCAAGAAACTATGAAACCTTTGATGATCTATGTAAATAATACTGAAGTGTAAAAAGTTGTTCCTTTTTGCATTTACTGAAGAACTAAGTATTTATATTTAAGGCCTTCCTTTCTAGATATTCACATACAGCCCACCCTCTGTATTCATGAATTTCCATGTCTGCAAATTCAACCAATTCCAGATAAAAAAATATTTGGGAAAAAACTGTATCTGTACTGAACGTACAGTTTTTTCTTAGTCCATTATTCCTTAAACAAAATATAACCACTATTTACATAGTATTTCCACTGTATTAGGTATTATAAGCAATCAAAAGATGATTTAAAATATACAGGAGGTAGGCTGGGATTGTAGCTCATTGGAAGAGCACTTGCCTAGCTATGTGTGAGACACTGGGTTCGATCCTCAGCACCATATAAATAAGTAAAATAAAGGTCCACTGACAACTAAAATTAAACATACATATAATATATACAGGTGATTATATGCAAATAATATGTTTCATATAAGAAACTGAATTTCAATAAGGGTCCTGGAACTAATCCCCACAGGATACCTAGGGATAACGATACTTGACATTACTTCAGGTGCAGTGCACTTGCCTGTAATCCCAGTGAATTGGGAGGCTGAGGCAGTTCAACTTAGTGAGACCCTGTCCCAAAAAATAAAAGGTAAAAATGGCTGGGAATGTGGCTCAGTGATTAAGCACTCCTGGGTTCAATCCCTGATACCACCCCCAATCCCCCCACCAAAAAAGATAAATTAGATATCTTTCAGAGGTACTGTGATGGGCTGGGCATGCAGCTCAGAGGTAGAGCACTTGCCTTACATATGCAAAGCCCCTAGGCTGGATTGTGAGCATTACAAAAAACGAAAAACACTGTGCACAATAAGGAGACTTTCCTTTCTTCCAATCGGAAATCAAGAACTAAAGAACAAAAACTGGTCTGGGAATATGGCTTGGTGGTTGCATGCTTGCCTACCATGTGCAAGGAAGGCCCTGGGTTCAACTGCCCACACCTCGAGGAAGAATAAAAAACAAAAACCCTACCAACACCTCTGACGAGCGGTTAGAATTGAGGCACACTGCTCTGCAACTACACACATTCCTTCTCTATTCTGATTCTCATCCTTTTTATATTCAACTTATATTCTCTAGCATATTCATCTCACTCAGATACTATCTATTAAAAACAACTAAATATGATATTTGTTACCATATTTAAACTATGACCTATCTATAAAATTATTATGAAATGAATCTTAGATGTATAGTTATATTATCATGGAAGTAGATGAGTATAACAACTTCTACAGTCTATTCACACACAAAAGCACTACAAAGACAAATATTTTAAAGTGACAAAATAATTTTCATATTCCTAAATATTCAGCTTTTAGAATAAACCTTCCACTATTAAGTTTAGTATACTTAAAATGGTTCCTGAAATGCCATTCTTTGACTGTGAAAGTATGCTCACTGTAGAAAATTATGGAGATGTACCCACCTGGTTTACCACAAATCATAATTAACATTTTTGCAGACTTTCTATGTCTACAAATTTATTATTACAAATATAAGTAGGACCAACACATAAGTGTCTTGAACTAACATTAGAAATTGTCTAATACACCAAATGACAGAAGTCAGCACAATGTTAAGGTCAATTAAAACCTAATACTAGGGGGCAAGGAATGTAGAATACATGAATAACATATATAGGGCCCTGTTTCAACTTCTAACACCAAAAACAATACTAAACTTATTTCTCTCCTGTATAGTTTCAGATACACATCAGTTTCTAGAACACTTTTTTTAAAAACCCATTTTAGGAGTATGCACGATGCGGGTCAGATATTCTGAAGCTCATCCATCAGCTCCCTCTGTAAATAAAATGTCTACCTTAAAAGATTTTCTCTGTCCAGACATGGTGGCAAATGCCAATAATCCCAGAAATTCAAGGGGCTGAGGCAGGAGAATTTGAGGTCAGCCTTGGCCACAAAGTGAGACCTTGTCTCAAAAAATAAGGGCAGGGGGTGTAACTCAGTGGTAATGTATGCCTGTGTTCAAACCTCAGTATCATGGAAAGGAAGACTTTCTCTGTCCACAATTTCAAAGATATATTAGACAAAATAACCTCAATCTCAAAGGGTCCAAAACTTCAAATACTTTCCTTCTCTTACATCATAATAGTCAAAAGAACAGGAAGGACTCATGAAATAAAACTATTAGGAAGTATATACGCAAAGAATTTCTCAAGTCAGACCTTACTCAACAGTTTTAACTTGTTAATTTTAGAATAAAATACCTGAACAGGCCTAAAAGGCTCATCAGATTCCTTCCATCTGGAAAACAGGAGACAGACAATTTTCTCAATATCATTCCGAGGCCAAAGAATGAAATCCATCTCCTGAGTACAGCCAATTACATCCTATAAAATAACAATTTTTTTTCTTTTAAAAGAAACAAAACTGTAACAAGCAACAATTATAAGTTTGACTACAAAAACACTGTACAAAGGCTTATCATACCTTTTTATATCTTAAGAGATAACAGTAATAGGCCTACACAATCTGAATAGAAAGCTCATGACCCAATTTCAATTTTTATCTTGTGCAGTTGCCCACACATTCAGTTCAATGTTCCTCATATGAAGTCCCAGATTCAGCAGTGCATGACATAAACCCATTTAACAAAGGTATCTTCAAACTCCTTTCTTTCTTTTTTTTTAAATATTTTATTTATTTATTTATTTATTTTAGTTTTCGGTGGACACAACATCTTTGTTTGTTTGTGGTGCTGAGGATCGAACCCAGGCCGCATGCATGCCAGGCGAGCGTGCTATCTCTTGAGCCACATCCCCAGCCCAGAAACTCCTAATATTAATCAGTTAAAATGCTACTGTTTTGTTAGGTTTGACAGGGAACCACTTTTCTTCATTCCTGCTCCTACTCTCCATTGACACAGCTGGTGTTTCCATCTCTATTATCATAGCCAGTATATGTACTCTCAAAGGCCCAAGAACCTCTTACAGACCAATATAGTTCTCTCTAATCTCTACCATTCCCTCACCCCAACTAATTGTGGGTATCTCTTGCTAAAGTATGCCCAGATTAACTTTCATTGTATTACCAAAGTTTAGAAGGTTGGCAGGAGAACTTCTAAATTTCCTATTTAAGAGAAACCCAAAACAGTATTCTTCTCAATAACCGTGTACACCCTGAACAGCATAATACCACATAAGCAGTTATTCATCTTTTATCTGAAGTCAACTTGGACTAGATTTAAAGCATCTTCAACTCATGCTGGACTGTCATCATTGATATTACCTGAACTTTGTCTTGTTTGGTTAACTTATTATTCACTTTTATTCCTTTCCCCTATTGTCAAGCTGTTTTATATTAATATATTCAGTGTTTATCATATAGTTTTTATATATGTTCTTATAAACTATATGTGAAAGAATAAATTAATTGTAGTAAACCTATAGATGGTATTATTCTTTTCACTTTTTTCCTCTTGGCCCTTTGATTTTATGCATGCACATCCAGTCAACTGCTTATAAGTTATACTTATTATAATTCATAATTATAAGAAATACTTTTACTAAAAAAACATACTTGGTAAAAAGAAGAAATCCATCACAATAGTCACTACCCATTTTCAGGGGGGAAAAATGCAAGTTTAACTCACAAAACTTACCTCACCCACTAGGTCACAACTTGACAACAGAACTCACCCTTCTCATAGACTGGTAACGAGGAGCATGAAGCTGTACCACATCCTTTTGTAAAAGCTCTATGGAACTTTCCAAGGAATAGCTGGAATCTCGCACACCTTTCAGGATATTTTCTTCATAATTATTTGTCATGACTGGTATAACCTCAGACACTTCAAAAAGTGCTGATTTTTTCTTCTAAAAGAAAAAAAAAAAGGTATTAACCCATGGGGAGTACAGTCTTTAAACACCCAGCTCATAATGTTAAGTATCTTTATTTTCAGCTTTGCTTCTCATTTTTTTAGTATTATGGTATTCATAACAAGTACTTAGTTTAGTAATTTTTAAATAGTATGAGAAACACACAACTCTAAAGTTTAAAAAGAAAACAATTACATGTCTTGGTATAATTTCACTTAAGATTCTATAAGCAGCTAAATTTAAAAGCAGCCATTCAAATATTTTCATTTTTTAAATGGGTCAATTTTACTATTCTTTCTGAATAGTATATAACCTCAAAAATCAATATTTGAAGAAGAAAATGTACACCAAATTATGTTTCAATGTTAGTCAAGATCAAGTGCTCATCACCAACTAGTTTATAAAGTTCTTCACTATTGAAGTATAGGTCATGAACTATTCAAGGCAATTGTATGAACATCTATTCATAGAATATAAGCATATCTTCACAAAAATTAAAACAGATGATTCAAAGATCTAGTTTCACCACTTGGATTTAGAGAAGCTACGTATAGCATCTCCAACTAATATCTGGTCTTTTGAATTCTGCAGTCCACTTGTTAAAAATAAAAAGCACAAGAGGAAATAAGTTCTTAGTACTTCAAAGCAAATTACTTTGAAACCACTCTGCAATGCTATTTAACACTCCAGTAATTGTGTTCTTAAATACCAATAGCTTTCAGAGTTAAGAGTACAGTAACAATTCATAAAACTTCCAAATACTCAATGCCACACAAATGCTTTTCTGATTTGAAACTAGTTCATCATTTAAAGTGAGGAAAAAAAAAGAAATCAAAGCAGCACTTCTTTACATTCATAACCTAATCTCTCAAATAGCTTTGTTGATAATTTAAGAAACTGTTCTTTAAGGTGCCAAAAAAAAAATTGTGCTTTCATCACTTTCACCTTGACCAGCTAAACCTCATCATTTACTATTTAGCTGTGAAACTAATCAAATAAGACAAAAAAAATTAAACTTCATGTCATTTTGAATTTAAAAAATAAACACTTTAAAACACAAACTAACCATTTTCAATATTTAGCTAATTCTAAAATTAAAGTCTATATATTCTAACTCATTAAATGAACCATGAATAAAGAAACAGGCTAACTTTAGAATATGAACATTGATTCCAACTTAACACTTTCAAACATCCTATTTTACATTAGATAAATTTAGTTATAAAGTTCCCTGTGTTGCTTTTTACAATGTTACACAGTCTGTGTCAACTAAGTGGATACTACTAAGCTTTAGAATTAAGCATATCCAAACCAATTAATACTTCAGGCCCTTCCATTGATAATTTTACCACAACTGCTCCAATAGCAGAAACAGCCATAAGGGTAAAAAACAAAGCATACAAAATAATTTTCTCCAACCACTCTTTGAACTGATATTCATAAATTATTTAAGAGTAACAACTAATATACACTTACAATAATCACTTGTGCTAATTCACATTAAGAACTTTAAATTACCTTCTCCTTGAACACAAAGGCAATATACATCTTGAAGTCAAACTGGTCAGCTAGAGATTCTTTTTTCTTTCTAAGCTGAGCACGAAGTCTGTTCAGCGCTTGTTTCTTCCGGGAGTTTGGGTCCCCCATTTTGAAATACAGGTGGTACTAAAGCCTTTGGAAATTGTCACTAAACTATGGGCACTTTTTCTTAAGACTCAAGTACAACAGAAACAAGTCATTTTTTTTCCTGCTAATATGATTGAATAGCTAAAATCACGACTGTAACCCCAAAACTGCACCTTCTGGCAATATTAGCAGACTGTCATATTACAGGGTCAAGAAACAAAAGCTGCTGTCCAGTCATGTCTGGACAATAATGTTTGGGGATTGATGGGAAAAAGGAAGGGGAATAAGGAAAGAAAGAGGAGAAAGTATTTGAACTAACTTTCTGGAAAACACATTTGGCTTCACTGCTAAAATAAAGGCTTTAAGGGGAAATGAAAAGCCTATTATCAGGATTTAGGTGTGCAGTAAAACACAGCTGACACCAGTCCAATCCTTGAAACCCATTCGAATTTTCCCCCTTTAGAAAAGGGATTAAGAAAAGGAATGGGGAGGGAGAAAGTGTGATCCTTGTTTTTCAAATACCAAAAAAACAAAACAAAAAAAAAACAAAAACAAAACACCAAAACAGGGTAGGTGAATGAAACTGAAATATCCAATTGGATTTTACCCAGCCAGATCCATGGCTGTAGTACCTAATTAGTTCTTAGTTATTTCAGATTTCACTATTGCTATGTATCGTCAGTGCTTGTTATTGATTACACTTGGTGGTGAGCAAAGAGAAAAGTGCAAAATCAGTAGAGAAAGAAGGGGAGAGGTACAGAGTTTCCCTGCAATCAACTACAGTGTACACCGGGGGCGGACAGCTGTTGCCCAAAGGAGCCATGAGAAAAAACAGCGGAGTCATTACCAACTTCCCCATCACCCACATTTTCACCCTCAGGCGGCTGCTAGTGCTGCTGCCAAGGAGAACCATGATGGCAGAGGGAAAAGGGGTGTACTGCAGGACAGCAGCTGCTCCGGCTCTGCGGTCAGACCTGGTCGATGCCCGGGACCCCAACGCGCTCAGCCCTGCGCCCGAGTCCTACATCCCCCAGGGAGCCTCCCTGAGCGTGCGCCCCGTTCGGGATGGGGGAGTGCGACTTATCTTCTCGAGAGCATGGCTGAGGCCAAGGTGGCGGGCTCTCCCAAATCCCGGGCGGCGCCCGGGGACCACCTGCCGTCCACCCCCCAGGTCCCGCCCCCGCCCTTGCCTTCAGCGGCAGCGACTCACTCGCACCACGGGAGACACAGGAGCACTCGGGTTCTCACTCATTTCATCGTGGAAACAACTCCCGCCCGGGTAGAGTAGGCGGGAGAGGGTAAGTGGGGAGGGTCAGTGGGAAGAAAAGAAGATAATCGTGTTAATAGCAGTGACTTTGTGAACTAGGCCCACCCCCCACCCCCCAAGAAAATCGAGCTCCCGGTCGGGCCGCCTTCGCGCTCAGCAGACCATGTTGGCGGGGTGTGCGTGGCAGGGCGGGTCGCGGGCGGTCTCGGGCGGGCGGGCGACCG